TTTTGGAATAATTCGCCATACTAGTTAAAGGCTGTATCATAAAAGAACATATGCTTTGGTGTCATTACCCATGGAGAAAAAAAATACGTTTGTATTAATTAAACGGCGCCCGGATAACATTTCAAACGCATTTTAAAACATGATTTAAAAATGCAATAATTCATTACTTTTATATAACTTTATTCCGAATCGTGAATATTGTAGTTGTTGAATTAAAATGACGATATGTTAAACAGTTTATTTGTTCAGCCGGTGCGCCATTTTGAAAATGGTCACACTCGCCACTCCACACAATGGCAGTAGCACTTATTAAAATAATCACTCCATCGCTGCCAATTTTTGCGGAGCACCGACAACAAGTTGCTGTTGCATTCCGCGGGCCGACGATGTTATAATTACAAAATCTAGAGCACTCTCGGCGGCGCCGTATAAAATCACCGTTAAGGCTGCGCAATTCGAACCAAGTCGTTTGGATTTCGTGGAATTATTTACTTGTGTACTTTAAAATCTGGTGTGGTACAAAAATAATCAGATCGAAAAGATTTTTTTTTTTTTATGTAATTCATGCAAGCAAATTTTAACGTGGAATCTGAACGTACGTGTGCTAATGTGTTACAATTCTACTGTTTGCTTTCTTATATTTTTAATTAAATATACATAATGCAATAATTATTTTTAATTAAATTTAACTAGGTTGCCGGATTCATTTTCTGTGTAGTCCGTACGGTCCGTCTCTTATTACTACCCTCAATTAGGTGCGAGCTTGGTGCGATCATAATCACTGACGTAATGATTATAATGATCAAAATCTATTGTTATTTTGATATCGACATTAAAGAACACGTCGACATGTAGTGGCAGCATAAGAATATCTTCTATCGTCCCGTGGGTGTCATAAGAGGCAACAGAGGGAAACCAGAAGATATTTTTTTAATAGGATAGGGTGACAAACGAGCACACAGTCCACCTGATGGTAAGTGCATGCTGTGACCCATAGACATCTACATATATCCTCAATAAATAATCAAAATGCAGATGCGTTGTCACCCGTGAGGACTAAGATGGATTGCCTCTTTTCCACTAAAAAGGATCTCCGGTTTTCTACACTCACCATACGAAACACAGCAGTGTTAAGCTGCTATTTTACGCTGGTATTCATTTTACATTGGATTCATCATTTTACATTGGATGGGCATCAGAGTATTACTTAGGTTGCCTGCCAAACATGGCAACTATAGCAGATACCCACTTAAGAAGCAAATTATAGGGTTTTCTATGATCAGTAGTGGACCTTGAAAAGGTTTGATAAATAAAAGAATTATTTAATTAATTAGAGAACAGAGGGTAATCAAGAAACTCTCCATAACAGTGTCTAATCCGTATTGACACCGTTGACGAAGGATTAAGGTTTAAGACCTGGATAGTTTGCGGCAGGGCGGGACGTCCTCACCCGGACGGGTTTCCGCCTTGTCGTAATGCGTGGGCTTAGTAGCCGTGGCTTGGTCAACCAGAGTGAACGAAAAGGAACCCTGGCCCGAGGTACGGGGCTACCATGTCGGCCTGCGCCCTGTGTGCGAAAGCGTGCCCGGGCCTTGCCAATTGGCGGCACACCATAGGGTTTTAGTCGGTGCGAGTCCGGCATAACATGTCCACGGTTCCGCGAGGCGGGTATGCGAAGCCATTTCCCTATGTAAAAAATGGGCAGGACGTCCTGAGGTCCTGAAAAATGCATACCGACGTGACCATTCATTCCCCTTTAAGGTGCAAGCGCCAGGGTCGCCCGCAAAAATTCAAATTTTCTTACGTTTTTTGGAATTTTGCAAGTCAGGGTCAGAATTATTATCATTAAAATCACCAATACAACCTCAACCTTCTCAACAATGGGATTATACGAACTTAGATGGTTGTATTGATGATTATAATGATTATAATTCTGTAAATACATACTCGTTACGGTCGCGAACCATATTTTGTTAAACACACAACCTGACACTGACCTGCAAATAACTTAAGAAAATTTGAATTTCTCGGGCTATCCTGGCGCTTAGACAAATCATGTCAAACATACGGTCCTCGGATAATTATCAAACGACTCGCGACCAGATATAAAAAAAAAATATTTATTACTACTTATAAATAAAACTTTCTTTTATTTAGAATAAGGGGGCAAATAAGCACACTGTCTATCTGATGGTAAGTAAATATGCCCATAGACATCTGCATCTATCGTTGATTAAAATCGTTGTTAGAATCGTGAAAATAGCGTAAGAAAACAGCAGAAAAATTAAATAAAAACTACAATACAAAATAACAAAATATATAGTTATAATATTGTGATTCAAAAAAATTGTCTGACACCGCATACAATAAACTAAAAAAACCTAACATTATATAGTGTCTTAAAAAACTTTATAGGTACATCAAGTCATTATCATAAAATTATTAAAGCATTGTCATCGGTCGGTTTGGTCATACGTTTGCAATATTTCCGAATTGTTAGTTTTGAATGCCACGTACACGCCACTCTGTCGAAGAGTATTAGCTATTTTTTCAGATATAGAACCTAAATAGGTCAAACTGCCAACATATCGACAATCACTTTGAGGTTTAACCGCGTACAGAGAATTGCGTACTACAAGTTTTTGTTTCTTTTTTATTACATTGTCAATGATATTCTTTGAATAACCGTTAGAGACCGGACGAAGTGGATGAAAGCATACAGGGTTATTTTAAAAAAGTACAGCCAAATTTACGATATGGTGCTGCTCAGCCCTTCGATTGGTGCCATGCAGAAATTATTAAATATATGTGAAGCATATGCAGTATCCCATGGAGTTCATATAGTGTTCAAGGCAGGAGTTAAATCCCGACCATGTGCGACTACCTTCACACTCAACAAGCGTGTCTAACATTTTAAGTATCTGGGTCACTGGGTCACTGAGGATCTGCGTGATAATATGGATATCGAGCGGGAACGTAGGGCGCTATCCATCCGATGTAACATGGTGGCCTAAAGGTTAGCTCGTTGCAGTAGGCAGGTAAAGATTACTATTTTCAAAGCCTACTAGCCAGTCTTTTTACACGGGCAACCTAAGGGTTAACTATACGCAGCGGGTGTACAGCGCGTTGCGTGTCCAATATAACAATGGGTTTAGGATGCTGATGCCGCGCTTTTGCAGCGCGTCAGTAATGTTTTCTGAAATGCACACTGATGGTTTCCATACCATTATTAGAAAGCATGTTGTATCGATGCTGAAGCGTTTACGGGGCGGCTCCAATAGCATACTCAACACAATAGCAGATAGGTGGGACTCGCCGCTGTTCGAGCGCTGGATACGGCTACATGCCACGGTATAAAACACCGGTACCCTCATGGCGGCTGGTCTCAAACATCTCCATTTACATTTGTGATCATTATTTATATAAATTAATTTAATTACTAACACTATAGTTCTCTGTAAATAAAGATATTTCATTTTATTATTTTATTTTATAAATATATAAATAAAGATATACCTTTATTGCAGTTTTTTGAAAATATATGTAAATAAGGCTTCTAATTTCATTTGAAATTATCCCAAATTGAATGTGATTTATGAGCAACAAAGTTTTTGCCTACCGATCGACCTTCACGAATGTATGCGTCGCAGTAAAATCAGTGTACATCATGTACTCGTATGTATGAACATACAGGTCTAGCTAATTAAAGCGTGTTGAAAATTAATATTCCTTAAGAAAAATTTGCGACAAACCACTTCGTAATTTAATTCGATAGTCCCATTTCTCGAGTTTTCTAATGTTTTCAATCTAATTGTATAAAATAATATATCGTAAATTAATTTTATTTAAAAAAAAGTCCCGCTAGGTTTCTTGCTGGTTCTTCTCTGGACAGAGGTTTTTTCCGAACCAGAGGTAGGTAAAGCTTAATAGTAGGTAATTAGCTCAGGCATTCAGATAAACGCAGTTTAAACTGATACTAATTTGTTTCCTGTCATGTCAGTTTGAAATTTCAAGGTACCTATACTTCAATACAGGTTCATGTTCAGGCTCAGGCATTCAGTGTAAGCCGATATTAACTGGTTACCTGTCATGTCAGTTTGAAAATTACAAGATGTCACAATCACGAATTACTTACTGATATTTTAAATTTGTTTTTAATTTCAAGTAAAAACTTGTAAAACCGATGACGTGCATGTTTCCCGCCTTTTCATGACATCGCCCACAAATTTTTTTTTTGTTTATTTTTATTTAAAACCGTATAATTTTAACCTTTTTCTAATTTTAATTTTTTAAGATAAGATCCTTCCTATCATCAAGGAAGAAAGGTTCGCAAGTAGCAGCCTCGTGCTAGTAAGTTAAGTGTAGGAAGGGCCCCAACTAAATAGATTGGCTACCTGGGTGCCGATTTCCTTGTACTTATTGTGTAACAGTATTGACTAGATACGTGGTACAGCCATTCTGAAGCTATATAATGGTTATAACACAAATGGGTCGGCTCGATCGGGGAATAACCACACTCTTTCAGAATACCAGCGTAAAATAGCAGCTTAATACTTCTGTGTTTCATACCTACGATGAGTGTAGAGAATTGGAGACTCTTTTTACGGGATACGAAGCATTCCATCTTAGTCCTCAGGGGTGACAACGCATCATCAACGTTTTGATTCTTAATCGAAGATAAATGTAGATGTCTATGGGCAACAGCATCCACTTACCATCAGATGGACGTCGCGCTTTTTTGTTAGATGCACTCCGATGTACCGGACGATGCATATGTCAGATTTTTTCATCTGTTTTGATTCCTTAATTACATTCTAAGTTTTTAAGTCTATGTGTTTAGTTTCAATTCAAAGCAATAATTACATATTTTTGAGACAAAACACTATTCAGGAATCCACTTCTGATGAAAATGGAAATTAAAAAAAAAATTAAAACACTAGATTTTTAATTAATACATCTTCGTCACAAATGTCTGACATGCAATTTTATGCATTTTCCAGCAAGTGACAGCGAAAGTGCTATTCGGCAGCATGACGGCGATCAATGACCTCAAGCGACAAGAAAAGGCAGACAGAGATGTGCGGCGGATGCATTAGCACCATCTATCGGACAGGTTTGTATTTTTATTAAAGTATATTTAGTACATTCTATAGACAAATAATTATGTAGCAAGGTACATATTAATAGTTGACAATATGCCACTCAGAGGTGGCGCTAGCACTACCGGACTACAGTAGGCGATGGATGTAGTAAATGAGACGTTATTCAATAGATGGCGCTATTTATATTTTGTAATACATTTATATTTTAAAAAGTTTTATTCTGTTCATTTACAGCGATTTTTATTATTATTTATTATACTTTTTAAATTATATATTCTAGTATATTATATTATATATCTAATAAATTAACTTAAATAGACATTTAAAAAACCGATTTGTAAATCATCAATTTTAAACTTTTTAAGTAAAAACCTAATTGCTGATGTTGCTGTTTCAGATTAGGGGCGGACTATGATCTTGTGATAAGAAGATAATAATGGAAGCTACGGAGTGATCTCGGAAGACAGGAATAAATGTTCATAAAATATATTTTTCTAGAATCGTTATTATATTTAAATTATAGGTTATAATAATGCTCTGATATTTTTGTGGAAATTTTAATTATTATAAAAAAGATATTGACATTAATATTGAAACCTAGCACTAAAGTAATACATAATTGAATAATTATAATACCCGACATGTCTTTCACAATATATTTTAGTCTTAAGAATATTAAAGAAATAATATAATTACTTATAAATTGTTTTATCTTAAGTTATAAGTATCTTTATAATATAACTTAGTTACGTGAAAAATGTATTCTGCCACTGATGGTGATTATGTATAATCACAAGAAAATTCCTATATTTTTGTTTATTTTTTTTTTAAATAGGTTTTGTTACAATAAAAGAGGAAGTACAAGAAAACGATATTTTCACACGTGGGTTACCTGAAGTTTTGTATTTTATACGCACAATTTTTATCTCTGTTTTGTTTAAATATATACAATCGATTTAAAAGAAATGTTTTGAATATTTACTAAAATAAATAGAATTATTCCTTATATGCTTTTATCTTTATCCAGCGATGTGATTCAATTTTATATAGATAGACAAAAATAGACTAGTTGAAAAAACTCTTTTTCTGTCCAGGAGTCAGTGTAGGTCTGAGTACGTACCACTCCCATTGCCAAGTAACAGTGCGAGCACTGCTGTGTCCCGGTTCGAAAGGTACCTATAATTTCAGGGTGAAGGGCATTCCAACTTAGAGGTGACAACCTACCTGTAGTGTTCTTTATTCGAAGTTGATTGTGGGCATGAACGTACAAAAAAAGGGATTGCAGTTTACAGTAGCCACATACCGTCAGATGGATTGTTCATGTATCACTTCAATTTTGTAAAAAGAGACAAAACAATTTTTAATTTATGTATGTTATAACATGTATGTTTATACGTGGTAGAGCCACGTTGCAGCTAAATTATGGTTGCAGCACGAATGGGTCTGCTCGATCGGGGAAGGACTACGCTCTCATAGAACACCAGCGTAAAACAGCAGCTTAATGTTGCTGTGTTTCGTATGGTGAGTGTAGATAACCTGAGACCCTATTTTACTGCAAATGGGGCATTCCATCTTAGTCCTCAGGGGTGACAAGGCATCTGCATTTTGATACTTAATCGAAGATAAATGTAAATGTCTATGGGCCACAGCATCCACTTACCATCAGGTGGACTGTGTGCTCATTTATCACAACCATTCTATAATATATATATATGCATCATTTATAGCTGTGCTGGTTGCTCTACTCCTTGTGTAGTGGCAAGACGTTAATCTTGTTCCATCACTCAAGGGCTTTACTCGACCTCTAGGTGAGAAAATAACCAACCCTCTTGAGCAATGAAATCCAACCGTATAGAATTCCTGTAAAAACTTAGCTCAGAGTGAACACCACGACTATTAATTCTCGGCCCGTTCCTCTTTCTAACCTTATAATTTACTCTCGGTGTTTTATTACGTCATCACTGAAAATCAACGCAGTGATTTCACCACAACACATGCTCATATTATCAAATCAAATAAGGTTTCTTTCTTTTTTTTTCTCATTATATATTATTACTAGCTGTGCTCGAGACTTCGTTCGTGAGGAATTTGTACTTTTGTTGTGATATTGATTATTTACTTATACTTTTTAATGGCGCAAATATCTAGAAAGACACAAATCTGGATCAAAACATTCAGTTAGTTAATTAGATAAACTAACGATAGAAGAAATATTTTTAAAGATTATAATAGACTATATTTAGCAATCTAACCAGACATGTATATAAAAAATAACTATATGAAATAATTAGAGTATGAAATAACTTATGGTTGAATAATTATTTGATGATACATTGTACTACCCCGTGTAGTGGCGGGTAAGAATACCCACTACCCCATACCTACCCGTGGGTGTCGTAAGAGGCGACAGAGGGAAACTGAAGCAGAAGATGGGCAGCAGCATATTTCTGACAAAAGCAAAACAACAATAAAAAAACTGCGGTTGCCAACCCGCTCGCTAAGCGTGGCAAATATGGCAATATACCCCCCATGATTAAAGTTACAAAAAGACGGCCCCCAGTCCCCGGCGGCCCCGCTATTCCTGGCTACGATGGTGACCATGGTAACGGCGGGGCAGGGGGTGCTAATAATATCCGGTGGAGGTTCAGTTGCCACCTAAAACGACTCGACCTGGCAAAATATAACGCACGCACCCTGAGGACTGACGAGAAGATCCTGCAGCTGGAAGAAGAGATAGACAAGTTGCGCTGGAATATTATAGGATTATTCGAGATCCGAAGAGAGGGGGAGAACATGGTAATCTTCGCATCCGGCTTCTTGTTCTACCACCGGGAGGGCGACCATCTGTCCCAAGGACCGACACCTCCTTTCCTCGTCCACAAGTCTCTCGTTAACAACGTTGTAAATATTGAGAGTGTGTCGAAGAGGGTTGCGTACATTATACTCAGATTCACCAAACGATATTCGCTGAAGGTCATACAGGTTTATGCACCAACCTCGGCAAATCCCGATGAGGAGGTGGAGCCATGCATTCCTCCAAAACCCACTATACGGTGTCAATGGGAGACTTCAACGCAAAACTAGGCACAAGAGAGAACGGTGAGCTGATGGTAGGGAAAATTGAAAAAGGGCAACGGAACCCAAGGGCCCAGCAGCTTGCCGACTTCATGGAGAAAGAGGGACTCTTTATGATGAACTCTTTCTTCCAGAAGCGTCCCTAGTCAGGTACAGGAAGTGGACCTGGTCGAGCTCCGACGGTTCGACAAAAAATGAGATTAACTTCATTATGACGACCAAACGACAACTGTTCAGTAATGTCTCAGTGATCGCGAGGGTGAAAACCGGCAGCGATCACCGAATGGTGAAGGGCACACTGAACCTAAACGTTAAGTTGGAGAGATAACGTCTAAAGAAGTCAACGCTCCGTCCCCCTCGTGCTCTAATCCAAAGTCCTGAAACCTTTCAGCTTGAGCCACAAAACCGTTTTCAGTGCCTAGAATCACCGAATGCAGTGGATGATATGAATGACATAGTCGTGGAAACTGTCAATGCGGTCGGAGCTAAGTTTTGCAAGACCCGCCGCAGAAGAACACAAAAACTCTCCAATCACACTCTTAATCTCATGGCTGTTAGATGGGAAATGAAGCTGCAGTCTTCAGTAGATTTGACAGCATACAGGCAACTGAACAGGCTGAACGGACTTACGCAACTTTAATACTGCTTGTAATGAAGAAGCGATCGAGCGAGCTCCAAAGTCGTCAGAAAGAGACAACTATCGAAGCTGAAGACCGAATGTGGCAGCGTCGTTTTCGGGACACCTGAGATTTTGAGTAAGATTGAGAGGTTCTAAGAGCAGCTATATACATCATCGTTGGAGCCACACGCAAGTGTGAGTAACGATCCAAGAGCAAGTCTTATCCGACACTATTCCGATGATATTCCAGACGTCAGTCTGAGCGAGATTAGAACGGCTCTCCAGCACCTTAAAAACGGCAAGGCTCCAGACGAGGATGGAATTACAGCGGAGCTTCTGAAAGCAGGTGGAAAACCGGTTTTTGAAGTCCTTCAGAAGCTCTTTAATTCCGTCCTCCATGGTGACACTACTTCGGAGGCGTGGAGCAGAAGTGCGGTGGTCTTGTTCTTCAAGAAAGGCGATAATACTTTCTTGAAAAACTACAGACTGATTTCCCTTCTGAGCCCGTCTACGTGCTGTTTTCGAGAGTCATTACGAATCGTCTCGCATGCACACTCGACGACTTCCAGCCTCCCGAATAAGCCCGTTTCCGAAAAGGCTTTAGCATCATAGACCACATGCATACCCTTCGGCAAATTGTACAGAAGCCCGAGGAGAACAATTTGCCACTATGCCTGGCGTATGTGAACTATGAAAAAGCCTCTGATTACGTCGAAATTTGGGCGGTGCTGCAGGTCCTCCAGCGGTGCGAAGTTGACTGTGGGTATATCGAAGTGCTGAAGTGTTTGTACAGTAGTACTACGATGGCTATCCGAGTACAGAACCAGAGTATGAAACCTATCCAACTGCAGAGAGGTGTAAGACAGGGTGATGTTAGATCCCCGAAATTCTTCGCCGCTGCATTAGAAGACGTTTTCAAGCTACTGGACTGGAAACGATACGATATTTACATCAACGGCGTGTACATCCGTCACCTTTGATTTGCCGACGATATAGTCCTTATGGCAGAATTGCTGGAGAACCTAAGCACTATGCTCAATGACATCAATAGTGCATCCCAACGGATAGCTCTTAATATGAACATGGATAAAACAAAGATCATGTATAACGTCCATGTCACACCTATGCCGGGAGTTGTTGGGAGCACTAAACTCGAATTTGTTGACGAGTATGTTTACCTGGGACAAATAGTCCGACTAGGTAAGTCCAACTTCGACCGAGAGGTCAATCGACGGTTTGAACTCGACTGGGCAGCGTTCGGGAAATCACGGCACATCTTCTCTTCACGTATAACTCAAAA